TACGGAGAATGCGCAGTGCAGTCGTTTGTAGCTCACATCAGTCAGCAGCTGTAACTCCGTGTCTAGCCTACGTGGAAGACCTACAATCTTGGACGGAATATAAAATGGAACAGCAAACCCCCAATCCCCCAAATAAAGGATGAAGCCTGGGAAAAGCCAAAAGCGGGGAGTTTTTTTCCCCCCCTTTGTTTGGGGGGGGGGGGGGGGGCAGGTGGGAGGAGATTGTAGGTTAGGCATAAAGCAACAGAAAAAACGAAATCTTCTCTTTTCATGCAAGTCGTTGATTTTAAAAAAGCTTTCGATCGTATACCCCGATAGAAGCTATTCGACAAACTGAGAAAAGAAGGTATTCAACGGCTTTTCAGTATTGATTTCTATGTACTCGAACGATAAATCGGAGGTCAAAATTGACAATAAATTAATCCAATCATTTCCTTGCCACTTCGAGGTAGAGCAAGGTTGCATGTTATCACCCGAGTTCACTCCGGTTCCCTCTCAAGGCTCTACATTTGTGACATGATACCACGACAAAATGTCATGCCGGCGCGAGTCACCCCGGCGTGAGTTCACCCCGGTTGTTGTACCGGGGCAAGAATTTCACTCCGGTACGAAATCTCGCAACGGTATTATGTAAATGCGAAACGACCACCCATTTCGGTGTGACTGATCGGTCTGCCGGTAGACTGGAACGGGTAGCGCATGCGTAATGTTTGCGATTTTGAATCGCACATGCATTTTATCAACATGAAGTGTACCTTAAAATAACCGAGATATAAAATGACCCAAGATCATGTAAACGCGACACGAAATAAAAAAGTCATGCCGGTATGAAACTCGCGCGGGTGCGAGTTTTCTCATGTAAACACCCCTTAAGTGATCTACCTAAACTACTGAATTCTATAGCGAGTTCAGCGGACATAACTCTAGGAGAAATTTCTATAAATTGTCTCTTGTATGCTGATGACCTAGTGATCTTTTCTAAATCAGCAAAAGGCCTGCAAACTATTTTGAATTAACTGGAACCTTTCTGTAATTATGCTGATTTACATGTCAACTTAAGGTTGATTTCCACTGACGCGTTTTTGGCTACGCACTTTAACGGAAGTAAATTTTAATCAAGTAAGTAAAATAGAGGAAAGATGGAAAGTGTTGAGATTAAACCCAAAGTTGAGCGAGGTTTTACTTCTACACCTACGTACAACCTTTCATACATTGCCTCTATTTATTATTTGCGAACGCAGATTTTACGCACGAAAGCACGTAAAAATTAGGCGACGGTGGAGATCAACCCTTAGATAAAACAAAAGTTATGATTTTCAACAACTGTGGCAAATCCTTAAACAGCTATTCGTTTAGATATGGCGCAAACAAATTAGAAAACGTCAAATCGTACAAATACCTTGGACTTATATTGAGCCCATATGGAAATTCTCTTCTGGCTAGACATGACAGGAACTGAAAAATGTTTCACCAAGAGCCATAATGGGACTTGGCTCTTATGGCTCTTGGTTTCACTCAAAGCTCTGTATAAATTAAGAAAAGAGATGAGAGGCCACTTTAGAGAAAATATTAAATTAACGACAAAATTATTTGTCACACTTATATTCCCCATACTACTCTATGGAAGCGAAACATGGGGCATTGACTGTAACGGAAAAATGAATAAAGATCCCGCAGAACTAGTGCAGGACAAATTCTTAAAATGGCTCCGGGTGTTAATAATATATAATAAATACTGTAATAATAATGCGTGCAGGGTGGAGACGAGAATATAAAACTGCAACAATGGATGAGTGAAATGAACAATGACATTAGAAGAGATGCTGACCAAAATAACAAAATGAGGATTTACCGAAAATTCAAAACAATAGAAAATTAAAAATGTGAGGATTACCCTCGCCAGGTCACCAATTCCCCCCACAGAATAACTTCAACAAAATGGTGATTAAGCAACCACAAGCTCGCCATAGAAACGGCCGATACTTGAGACCTCATAAAAAACCTGAAGAAAAAATATGTCCAATTTGTAAACTAGAAATGGAGGACAAATATCACTTTTTAACTGTATGCCCCGCTTACCAGGAAAAAAGAAACGTTCTATCCGATAACTTGAAAAATAAACATCTTATATGAGTGAACAAAATGTCACCATATGACTCGTGATTCGTGTTTTTTTTTTTTTAATAAATCCTTTTAACGAGAAGCCTGAAACCCAAAAATTGAAAGCGAGGCATGTTTTCGAATGCTTTAAAATAAGGTGAATGGAGAAGGAATTCGAAGACAAAAAGTTGATCAAATATGAGGCCCTGTTAGGGGGGTCTGAGTATCCCTTATCCCATTAATTTTTGGCCAAAATATCCCTTATCCCATTAATTCTTGTAGTTCGTATCCCTATAATGCCAGTTACCCTGATGACGTCTTTGAGCGTGATATGTCTGGGTACCTGATAACGAAAAATACATTTTCCTGGGGCGTTCCGTATTTCAAATAGAAATTACGT